TATTCCTAATTAATTCCCTGTGGGGAATTATTCTAATTCTGAAATAAGAGCACCTTTCAGAATGACTTCCTGTATACACAAGCTCTAAGTAAAGAGGTGAACATCTTTGGCCATCGAGTGTGCTTATGCAGAAGCAGCTTCCTAAATAGGATAGGATAAAATGTGTTCCTTTGGCAAACAGCAAGGGATTGCAGAATAAGACATACAATACAATCACATATCTGTTTACAATATACACTCAGACCTGGTCTACACTTATAAGTTAGGACAGCAGAGCTTTGGTGCTTAGCGGTGTGAAAAATACAATTTATAGCGCTGACCTAACCCCCAGTGTAGATGCACCTAGGTCAGATTCTTCCAGCGACCTAACTACTGCTGCGGAAGAAGGTGCAATACCTACAGCATTGGAAAAACCTCTTCCATCATTGTAGGAAACGTCTACACTACAGTGCTAGAGCAGCATAGCTACAGCGCCATAGCTGTGCCCTTGTAGTGCCCATACTGTAGTCAGGGCCTTAGATAGTATACTAGGTGCTATAGAAAAGCCTCCGATAGATGCCAACCTTTTGGAGCTTAATTCTACAATGATAAAACAGTTCAAATACAACTGTAGTCTTGTGTTTAAAAAGATCTGAAATCTTCTTTCCTTCTTAAAAAAAAAGACTTTACACACCATAAGGTCCAATACACGAGACATTGTCTTGAGCCTACTAGGACATTATAGGATTGCAGTGGTGACAATTCCCCCAAAATATCATTAAAACAATCACGTCACATCACACTTACCCACAGCGCTCAAGATCAGCCTCTAACAAAAATATTTTGCAGCAGACTGGGACACTAATATTCATAAAAAGAGACAACTATAGGGGCAGCAATAAAAGAACAAGAAGAACAAACTTCTTGAAGATGTTTCAGATATTGGGATAGTTTTCAGCTACACCAGTGGCTCTCAACCTGTGGTCCACAGACCCATGGGAGTCTGCAAACTATGTCTAAAGGGATCTGCATCTCCATTCAAAAAATTTTAGGGGTCCACTAAGCAATACTACCAGCCTTTTTGCTTTGACAAGTTTACTCTGATGCAATACACAAAGCAATTTTTGTACAAGATATAGCTTCACAAAACGTGTTGCACACAAACAGGTTTCCTTCCCTTTCTACCACACTCATGTTATTCCACAGTTTCTTCCTTGTCAAACTTAAAACAACTGCAATACAAGTTATGGAAACTGCATTAGAACTATGTAGTTAAAGCAAATTTATCTGAATCTAACTTTAAGACGGCATATGAAACTTACATTTGAAAAGAATGACTGGAATGAAAATTCTAATCTCTACTATAAGAACATAATAGCACAATAACTTTAATGCAAGTCTAAATCTTCAACTGATGTAAATGAGAGGCAGTAAGAAATGTAAAATATAAGTGTTAAGGTGCCAACATAAACCCACAAAGGAAAGGAAAATTCTGGGCTATGGTAATCAGTCCCATAGTGCCTACCTACATCATTAACAGACTTGTCAAAACTTTATCACCTGAAAACACAAATTCCCTGATCTTGATTCATTTTATACCACACACAAGGCTTAAATGTATGCTTACTCACAAAGATCAAACACAAATTCAGATAAACTTATGGGTCAGATAAACTTGTGTGGGAACAAAAATAGTGGAGCATGAAAACCTCTCTGACCACATCTTTTCTAGTGAACATTTCCAACATCTGAGATTTTGCTCTTAGCTTCTCCCATTAGGACAGAGACGTGAGCAGAATAGTCGAACGCACCTAAGGCAACAATATCAAGTATCAGATTTGAAATCCTTTCATCACCTGCCCCTCTTATACATCCTTCAAAAGATCAGTTTTAGAAATCTCTAACATTAATCCTTCCTCCACACCAAAATAGTCTAATTATGCCCACAGCAAACTATTCACAATTCTCAAAATAACTACAAAGCCAGAGTCAGGCAAATCTAAACGATTAATTGCCGTTCTGTGCCATCCAAACAATGGCGAAGCAGCAACTCTCTTGATGAAAGCAAAGGATTTTACCATATGTTTAGAGAGACATTTAAAAACAATCATAAAAGGGTAACAGGAAAAAGAGCTTTTCACCTCTAGGTTAGTGCTTCAAGTAAGGCCCACAACAGAAAACTGTTAGTCTAATAGACCTTTTACGGTTTGTGAAATCAAACCAAAATCTGAGTTCACAAAGCAGGGACCCACTATTGGCACTAGCTGACACCTTTGTGGTCAGTCTCTCTAGAATCCAAAAACTGAATGAATACAAAGACTGAAATCTCTCACTTAAGGACAGTCCCTCTATCAACAGAGAGGCACATCCATGGTGCAAAGAAATCTGTCATTGTTTGTACACTTCCTTTTAAAGGGGATAGATTATTTCTATTTACACTGGTGTCAAGTGAGCACCTTAAACCAGCACCAAAGTCACTTCACTTTTTTTATTTCAATTTTTACTATTAAAGTATTTCATTTTGATTCTTAAGCTTTTGTCCTGTCTGTGTCCTGTCTAGCTTTATGAGTCTATGAGTTAATGATGCATATTGTTTACCTATTCCAGGATGTTTCAACTCCACTTACGGATACAAAGATAAGGGCACTCTATGCAGTGTTGCTTCTGCTTCTTGGCTATCAGTTTATCAACACTTCCACCTTTCAAGATAAAGGATCCATGTGGTAGGTGGAGGAGGGGGGAGGGCAACTGCAGCAATCCCCAAATGGTGTAGTGCACCCCAAAGCCACCACTACTCCTCTGCCCTGAACCCAACAGACACAGCAGAGGAGATGGGGTCAGAAGCCCTCTTCAGCAATATGCAGGATAATACCTGAAAGATGGACCCAGGAGACCAGCACTGGCTATGTAATTTTTATACCTAATTTCTGGGGTCTGTCTAAGCATGGCCATTATACTCCTTTCAAGTCACACCCTTCCTTAAGCCGAGTTAACTCCCAGGTGTAGACAAGAGCTCAGACTAGCAGGGTGCAATGTCAGGAAAGGGGCCGTCACAGCCCCTCCATCACAAAGCCAATGCTGTGGGAATCTTTCTTCAATAATTCAAAAGCCTCACTCAAGCCTGGTTATCAATCTGAGCCCTAGAGCCATTGCCTCCTGGGAGCTTGAGAGACAAGCATGGCCCTGAAACTGATGGAAGCTTGGGGGGGGGGGGGGAGGTCAGAGCCCCTGACCTGCCCCGACTCAACCTCCCCCACTTCAGGGACACCCCTGCCCGTAAACCCTGCCTGCCGGTGTTCGCACTCCAAGCCTGCGGCCCCAGCGGCTCAGTAGACGTGGCACTGGCTGCTGCGGGAGCCGCCCCCGCGCCGGTACCTGTTACTCCAGATGCCGTAGAGCAGCTCCACGAAGGCGAAGGAGAGGTTGAGGCAGAGGAAGAAGAACAGGTTCCGCGAGGTCTTGTCGGACAGGATGGACCTAGACACAGGGCACAGCGGTCACTCGCTGCCGCGGCCCCGGGGAGGGCAACTGCGGCGCGGGGCACGGCCAGGGCCCGGCAGCTGACAGCGTGACCCCGGGGGGCGGCCCAGCGCGGAGCCGCCACCCCCGTCCCTTCCCTTCCCTCCGCAGGTGGCGGGGTCCCTAGGGCGCCGCTCCCCGGCTCCCAGGCACAGAGCCCCCGCTGAGGCCTGGGGCCGCCGTGTCCACCCCGGCCACTGCCCCCCACCCAGCCCCGGGAAACCCCCCCAGGCCCGGACCCCGCCGCTCACCTGAACCAGCCCGAGACCTTGCTGACCAGGTTGAACTTGGGCGGTTTGTACTCATCGTCCTTGATGGACAAAGGCAACATCTTCCGGGCGCAGGCGGCCCCGGAAAGGAGCGGGGCAGGCTGGGAGCGGCGCGGCTGCAGCGCCCCTTCGCCGCGCCGGGATCCGCTTCCGACACTTCCGGCACCTGCTCTGCGCCTGCGCAGGCGCCACGAGGGAGAGTGGGCGTGGCCAGAATCCCAGTCCCATGTTTGGGGGCGGAGCTAGACCAGGAGAGGCGGGCGATTGGCAGGACAATGGCCCCAGACTCTATCCGGAAGGGGCGGGGATGTGTGAGGGGAAGCTGGTGTCTGAGCCTGCCGGCGTGTTCTCTTCCCTTTCCTTGAGTCTGCCCTCTCTCACCACCCAGAATCCTCTGCGGTGCGCCCATAAGTACCTCCTTTCTAAATCAAAATAATCCTCTTTTTACTGCATAGCTTCGCTGCTTGACCCAGCCCCCTAGACACCGCAGCTTGAAAGCGCAGTTCAGGAAAATCAATAATTTGCTTGCAGATCACTTTCATCTTTTGATAGGCGAGAGAAGCTGTATGGATCCTCCCTCCGCCAACACACACACCAGTCCAGGGACGCATTCTATACAGCAATTTCTTTAGCTGTTTGATTTCCATGCATTTTATACAGCGTTCTCCGAGGCAGTCAAATCCTAACACCTTCTTGAAAGATTATGTTGTTACTAAATAAAAACCACCGAAGGTGGCTGCAAAATCCTCACTGTACTATAATATCCTACACGGTAAAATAGTATTTGTATCAGCGAAGGCGTGAATAGGTTAGATATGTAGATTTCCCCTTTTATTTTCTATCTAAATGAACTTCACATAATTATAATATCTTGCTTTTCTGTGTGACCCGCAATCTATAGGGAAATATTTGTATTTGAACGGGAATGAGGAAGAGATTTAATAATAGAGACTGTAAGAGAAATAAGGGAAATTTAGTTTTATACATTCTCAGGTATATTTCAAGGTGAGCTTCTACTCCCATAAAACAGATGGGTACCATCTGTGACACTGAAAACAAACACATTCAAAAAATATCTGACTCTCTGAAAGAATCAAAGCTTGATTGAAAGAAGAGTTGAGACAAACTGTTATGGTCGGGATAAAGCATGAACTACAAATTCGAGCCTGCTGGGAGGAGGAGTGTTTTCATCCAGCAGGAAGTACTATGCCACAGAAAGGGAAGGTAGTACGGGCTTGTTCCAGCCCTTCTGCTGAATCTCTCATGTTGGGATGAGGAGAGGAGGGTTTTTCTATCAATGTTGTTGACATAAAAATACAACCAGTGCAAGCTAACTGAGTTTACAAAAAATGTGCAGACTTCTTATGCTCGGTTAAAAAAATCTCCATTCTTCCTCATGTAAATCAAGGCTTAGACAAATAAGCTGTCTGGCTCACGGTCTCCAGCATTCTAGGTAAGGATACAATAAAATGCAATAATATGGAAGGTATTTTAAATTTGGACAACGATGTGAAGTGGCTGTTCTTTGAATAATTTAATTTATTTGGGTTTTTTTAATGAACTGTTTTCATAAAATGAATGCTGATTATTAGAATGGGTAGGGGGATACTGTGTAGGCAGAGAGACAGCAGCTTCAGAAGAATTCTTTCTTAAAAGGAGGGTTAAAATTGCATATCTTGACTTTCTCAGTATTTGTTTTGTATTTTATTTCTGTTTAAAAGAGGTAAATATTCCTTACAAAGGAATGTGAGTCTTTGAATATGGGAAGAAGCCCAATACCGTTGTAGTGGAATTTTATATCCTACTTTGCTGCATTGTTCAGCATATTCATACATGAAAGCACCATGATACTAATTAAAAAGAACAGGAGTACTTGTGGCACCTTAGAGACTAACAAATTTATTAGAGCATAAGCTTTTGTGGGCTACAACCCACTTTATGCACACGAAAGCTTATGCTCTAATAAATTTGTTAGTCTCTAAGGTGCCACAAGTACTCCTGTTCTTTTTGCGGATACAGACTAACACGGCTGCTACTCTGAAACATGATACTAATTCTAATTTAATATCTTAAATCGAGATTCATCTGTGATATCCTTATTTAGCATTTACAGCCCATTGTATGTCATTAAGTAAACACAAATGTACAGAAACCCAAAAGTTTTAAAATAGCACATAGCACTTATGTTTGCATTTTCAATGTGCTTTAAAATATTAACTAGTTAATCTTCACAACAATCTTGGCAAGTATCACAATGCCTGTTTTGAAAATAGGGAATCTGAGATACAATTTAAGATCCACATTTTTAAAAATTCATATTGATTGCAGCTGTATCGGTTTTCTGGAGACCATCTTGAGACACCTCTGGGATGACAAGTTCTGAGAAGCTGCAGCTCCTATTGATTTAATTAGGAATTGCACTTCCAAAAGTTAGGCACAATGGTGTCTCAAATTGAACACCCACAAATTGAGGCAACCAAACTCAGTGGTCACTTTTGAAAACGGTGTAAGTGATTTCTTCAAGGCCACACAGAATCAGAACCAGAACCTAAACTCAGGAGGTCCTGACTGCCTATCACATGTTCAGATCACTAGACTGTGCTGTAAATATACAGACTTTCCAATTTGCATTTCTATCAGTAAAGTTTATATAACCTAAAATAAGTTATTTTGTTGATATGGAAGCATAGGTTCAACAACTTAATGCTAGCTCTTCTTCTTCCAAGTTTCCATATTTCTGTTGTCCAAACATAGAAGGAGGTATCTATGTTCCTCACACAGACAGATTTAACAAAAAAAACCCCTCACTAATTTCCTCTTAGTCTGGAGAAAAGAAGATGGGGGGAGGGGAAGAACATAACAGTTTTCAAGTACACAAAAGGTTGTTACAAGAAGGAGGGTGAAAAATTGTTCTCGTTCTACGTAGTCCTGCCTTGACAGCAGGGGACTGGACTCTAGATGACCTATTGAGGTCCCTTCCCGTCCTATACTTCTATGATTGTCTTCCATCCAAAATGTATGAAATGCTCACTCTGATTCGCAGCAATGGAAAATGCCACCTCTGCAGTTCACAGATACCCATAGAGTGCTCACCCTTATTATTAACTATTTGTGTTAGAGTGCTAGCTAGAGGCACCAACAAAAATTGTGGCCCTATTGTGCTAGGCACAGTGCAAACACAGAGTATAAATAACCCTTCCCCAAAGAACTTAATTTAATAATTTAAATAGAGAGAGGGAGGGGAAGTATTTCCCTTTCTATAAAATGAGGATGCCACTAGACAGAGAGATTAAGGCCCCAATCCTGCAATGGCCTGCAGGCAGGGAGACCCTTAGTTCCTTCACTGGCACAAGTGACCTGTCCAATGTCGTATGGGAAATCTGTGACAAAACTATGAACTGAACCTGGATCTCCTGGACTGCAATCTAGTATCTTAACTACAAGACCATATGAACTGAACCTGGATCTCCTGGACTGCAATCTAGTACCTTAACTACAAGACCATCCTTCCTTTCTGCTCTTCCACTTTTGCTACCATCCCACCTACCCTCTTGCCCCTGAACTTTTATTGCCATCCCCACCTAACCTGCCTTCAGATGAGATGGGAAAAATCGTAAAACCAACTGATCACCATACATGCTTCCCCTTTAACCTCTAAATCAACCAATAAACGTGGGAGATGGAGAACATGAAAGGTATGCACCGGAAAAATGGGAGACTATCACCTGAACCAGCTGTGATTATGGTAGCCTACGATGTACTGTAATGTGGTCTAGTGGATACAGCATATTGGACTGAGATTCAGGACACCTGAGTTCTTTTCATAGCTCTGTGTCACCAACCTGATGTTTCATTTTGGGCAGGTTACGTCATCTTTCTGTGCCTCTGTTTCTCTTTCCACCCTATCTTGTTTATTTAGATCGTAAGCTCGTCCAGACTACCTAGCAAAACGGGGGCCTGTGTTGTTTGTAAGTGGCCTGTAAGTGTTACTGTAATACAAATAAATAATACTGCAATGAGCAGCTAAATATGCTTGAGGTAAGAACTTTTTTCGTTCTAACATACTGGTTTAGCAATGCATTTTTATAGTGGTCATGAAATCCAATGAAAACTCTTCAGCTGAACAACAGGAAAAGATGGACAGTTGCCAAGAATGTGTACATTCATCGGTTGTTGAGATGAACACTTGCCTTATACACAAACATATATGATTGTGACAGGATCTTGGGTGGTCGGTGAGCAAATGCATGATCAAAAGTTACATAATTCCTTTCACCTCCAACAGATCCATACAGAATTGATTTCACCTAATCAGCACCATCCTTTAAAACAGACCAAAATAAACCCAGTCCAACTTGGCAAAAATGAGGTAAGTACATTTTTTTAAAACTAAAAGTATGACTTTATTAAATTGTTTCACGCTAATATTTTCTAAACTGGTCTATATATTATGTAATTAATTAAGTGCTTGCATTTATTGTATCCAGAGGAAAGTAACATCCCTGTAAACTTTAAATACTTTCTTTAGGGTTTTAAACAAGAAGGATCATCACATGCCACCAATTTTTAAACAGAACTCCCCACTGAAATCAATGGGGGGAGGGGTGCTTCTGCTTAAGCAAAACAAAAAGCCACTCCCAGCATGATATCACCCACTAGTTTTTTTTAATAATCTTTATTGATCAGTAGCAAGCTTAGAAAGTTGCATCTGACTCATATCTGTCTTGAGAATAAAAGAGAGCAAAAGTACATAACAATTTAAAATGTTTACCTAGGATACCCATCAACAAAGAATCCTCCCTGCGTACCTGCCCTATGAGAAAGAGTGAGGTCCATGTTAATTTTACATTGAACTGACAAATATGTAGGGAGACGATTGATGAATTTTCTCTTCCCATTTCAATTTTTGTTAATAAAGATGTCATCACATCTGTAAGCTACCAGGAAGAGTTATGGGAATCCGACTACTTCACTTCTCTTCTGTGGTGATCTTTGTCTTACTCCTTGTGGCAGGTGCTTTAATGGCTTTGCTTCCTAACATTAAAGATGACAAAATGCCCAATTTGCGAAGGGAACCAAAATCCCAGAGCCAATCCGCCTTGGATTCATTTACTCTTGTTATGCAGACATACAATAGAACTGACTTATTGTTGAAGCTCTTAAATCATTATCAAGCCATCCCCCATCTACACAAAGTGGTTGTTGTGTGGAACAATGTTGGGGAGAAGACACCAGAGGAAATGTGGAATTCCCTGGGACCCCATCCTGTACCTGTTGTCTTCAAAGTGCAGATCGTGAATCGCATGAGGAACAGACTCCAGATCTTCCCTGAATTGGAAACAAAAGGTAATGAATGCCTCATTCTTATACGTAGCATTGTTGCTAACAATATTATTTCCACTTTTCAGGACACTTATTTTATATATTACTCAGAACAACTGCATATTTTATCATTATGGAAAAAATCCCACTGACCAAATGAATCCAGAAACCTCTGAATCCAGCAGATGTTGAGCAATTCCACTTAGCAGAAAACAGCGGCAGGGAAGATGTAAGCAGCAGGACAAATGGAGATCCTGTAGCATGGATGTTAGACACCCTCTGCCCCTCGGAGGCTGTATTAGAAGCACTGGGTGGAGGAGAGAATGCGGGGAGGGCGCTTGCTGTACTCATGGAAATGTGACTGCTATCTCAGTTTCCTCTTTCAGGCAAAGGTGACTAGATTAGCTTTCCAGCCAAATCCAAAATTCCTCCCTAATCCAACAAAACTAACATTAAAAAAAAGTCCAAATCAGTACAGGGGTTCACATGCCTTCTTCTACAGCAGGGGTGGGCAAACTTTTTGGCCTGAGGGCCACATTGGGTTTCCAAAATTGTATGGAGGGCCGGTTAGGGGATGCTGTGCCTCCCCGAACAGCCAGGCGTGGCCCACCCCTCCCTGCTTCTCGCCCCCAGATGGCCCCCCCGGGACTCCTGCCCCATCCACCCCTCCCTGTTCCCTGACTGCCTCCCGCCCCCCATCCAACCCCTCCTCTCATTCCTGACTGCCCCCCTGGGACTCCTGCCCCTATTCAACCCCCCTGTTCCCTGCCCTCTGACCACCCCCCAAACTCCCCTGCCCTCTATCCAACCCCCCCGCTCCCTGTCCCCTTACCACGCTGCCTGGAGCACCGGTGGCTGGCGGCACTACAGCCGCGGTGCCCAGAGCACCAGGACAGGCAGCCATGCTGCCCGGCTGGAGCCAGCCACACCACCGCGCAGCACAGAGTACCGGGTCAGGCCGCGGCTCTGCAGCTGCGCAGCAAGGCAAGAGCTCACAGCCCCCGCCACCCAGAGCATTGTGCTGGCGGCGCAGTGAGCTGAGGCTGCGCAGGAGGGGGGACAGCAGGGGAGGGGCCGGGGGCTAGCCTCCTGGGCCAGGAGCCTGGGGGCCTGGCAGGAGGGTCCTGCGGGCCAGATGTGGCCCGTGGGCCGTAGTTTGCCCATCTCTGTTCTACAGCCCTTTGGTGGAAATCCAAAAGCATGTGCTGCTCTCTATATTCCCTCCTTAGCCCAGTCTGATTCTTTAGCCCAAATCACTGCTTCTTCTCCAGGTATTTTTCCCTGGCCTTTGGCTTTTCATCCAGGCCTCTTCCTCAACTTTTTGCAGGAGAGACCCAACAACAAGTCCTGTTTCCTTCAAGTAAAAAGATGCATAAGTCCCACCTCTTTTGTGGTCTCTTTCTTGTTTGTATAACAAGTTTCTTTTATTTCACTACCCCCTGTGCTAGCATACATTGCTACTCAACCTAAAATTCCCAGAAAGCCTCTGATCACTACAGCCCCCAGAATGCCCTGCTGCTTAATCAGGGTTGCACTGAGCCATACCATTGCCTTAAAGGGCTCAGCACACCACTATGTTTCCTCCCTGAGGAACTGACCTACTTGCATCCTGCTTTCACCTCTACGTGCAGCATGTTTTCAGGTTCTAGGATCTCATACAAGGCTAGAAGGGACCACAAAATCATCTAGTCTGATTCCCTGTATATAGGCTACCCATCAACTCCACCCAGCACTCACATACCAAACCCAACAACTGAAATTTGACCATAGTATTACACATGAAACTAGACTATTACATGTGACAGGGAGATAACAAGAGCGACAGAGGTGCATGAATGCCTAAGACTTCTGCAATGTCAGGGAACAGATTAAGTGAGATATACCCAGTTAATCCCTGCAGTTGACTGCATCCCATGCTGCAGAGGAAGGTGAACCCTCCCCCCCACCACCAAGATCACCAGAGATCGGAAGCAACAGGCCTTATCCTGCAGTTAATAAGAGGGAATTTTTGCCTATATGCTACTTTTGCCTGTCTAGGTCCCAGAGAAGTGGTGTGGAAATACTTATGTCTTGGTGTTTCCTTGATGTTAAGAAATAATTATTATGTGGAAGATCATATTGTCCAGTATGATGGATTATATGGGATCTGATTTTTTCCCTTGATTTTTATAGTTGTCCTTTACACAGTATTAAAAAGCTATTAGGACTGCAACCTGACCTGCAATTAGTAAAGTCTGTTGTATTCCTTTGCCAACCCCTCTTCCCGCTCCCACCCACCCCCAGATTTTCCACTGCACAGCTGTTCAGCTATGCTACACAACTTTTAATGCTACAGTGATAGTTTGTGATTGATGATAGCAATAATGTGCTAAAAATTATGTGTGCTTCAGGTCAATTAAACATCTGTTAGAATTGCAAAGTTAAACATCCTTTTCCCTGTAACCTTAATATCTAAGTATACGTTTTCAGCCTAGTGCATGATGATTTAGCTATGCAGCTCATCCCAATGTTCATAGGAGATGTCTGGCTAGCTTGTCATTGCATATAGCACAGGTAAATTCTCACATACAGGCAGTCCTCGGACTTACGACACAATTGGTTCTTGAAAATTGCGTCGTAAGTCAAAACAGCGTAACTCGGAACTGCAATCCACTCCATTGCGGACCGAGGGTCGTAAAGTCAAAACCAATGGTCGTAAGTCGAATCAGGGTGTCAATCTAGAAGCGTCGTATGTGCCATTTGTCGTAAGTCAAAGATCATAAAGTTGAGGACTGCCTGTATTTATCACTTAATGATTTTAAATTTTTCTTTACCTGCATTAAAAAATTAAAATGTCTTTTTCCTCTCTTCAGCTGTTTTAATGATGGATGATGACACACTGATTAGTGCCTATGACCTTGCTTTTGCCTTCTCTGTTTGGCAGGTAATGTTTATATATTGCATCCTGCATATTTATAATGGAGTTTATATCAATTTTACTAAATGGAAAGATTAAATCAGTTCATTGTTGCTATTTCTAGAACATGCTGTTATCATCTGTCATATAGATGATCAGCTAAATTCTAAAAGGCAAGACGCTGAAGAATAATATTTTAATGATACAAAATTACAGACTGCAGGTATAAGTAATGTTTTTACCATTCCTCTGCTTAAAAAGCAAATTACCAAGTCACAGATATCAGAAAATCTAATTGGTTAAATGCAGCAGAGAAAATTTAATTTGATCTGGAAGCTGTGCACCAGAAATCAATAGTAATATTTCTCTTTACTGTGTAGAGATTATCTGTAGGCTTATTTTTGATCCCAAATGCATGAATGCAAATTAACTTTGGCCAGATGCTACTTGGCACCGTATGATGTGGAGTGAAGCAGTGTATCAGTTTCTACTGGTCATTTTGTATTAACTTGCAACAATCTCCATGTGGTGCAGGCCAGCGGACCACAGAGCTGATTACACCTCTACCCCGATATAACGCTGTCCTCGGGAGCCAAAAAATCTTACCGTGTTATAGGTGAAGCCGCGTTATATCGAACTTGCTTTGATCCGCCGGAGTGCTCAGCCCCACCCCCCCGGAGCACTGCTTTACCGCGTTATATCCAAATTCGTGTTATATCGGGTCGCATTATATCGGGGTAGAGGTGTATTTTATATTATCTGCATCTTTCATAGCAATTAATTTGCACCTCTATCAATAATAGCCTCATAAGAGATTCTTATATTAAGAGGTTTTGTACTGGTGTATTGATTAACATTTTGATTGTAGTGCGGAGCTTTAATTTTGCTATCTTTTGATTTTCTTACAGCAATTTCCAGATCAGATAGTGGGATTTGTTCCTAGAAAGCATGTTTCCACTTCTTCAGGTATATACAGTTATGGCAGCTTTGAATTGCAGACACCTGGATTTGGAAATGGGGACCAGTACTCCATGGTTCTCATAGGAGCAGCATTCTTTCACAGTGGATACCTAGAACTCTTTCAAAAGCAGCCTGATGCTGTTCACACTTTGATAGATGAAACTCAAAACTGTGATGATATTGTCATGAATTTTCTAGTGGCAAAGCATACTGGAAAGCCTTCAGGAGTGTTCGTGAAACCTGTTGACATAAGGAATTTAGAAAAAGAGACTAACAGTGGTTATTCCGGAATGTGGCACCGAGCAGAGCACTTGCTACAAAGATCTTACTGTCTAAATAAATTGGTTAATATTTATAACAGTATGCCATTAAAATATTCTAACATTATGATTTCTCAGTTTGGGTTCCCTAATTATGCCAATCACAAGAATAAAATGTAAGAATGTATAATATAAGGGGTATAAGTTACACATCAAACAGTAAATTCAAGTCAGTGTAAGTTAAATGCTGAGGGACCAGAAGAAGGCATGCATTACTCCAACTTGTCCTCCTTTACACATAGCCTCTGAATTTTGCCCACAGTATTTTCTTTCCCCAGTGTAAGTTATTGAGAAAGTTTAAAGAACAGTGTGTGTGTAATGTTCACTTATCATAAAATCACCTTCATCTCTTAATACTTGAGAAGCTGTTATTGTCAAAATTACAGGGCCAGACCTTCAAAAGCATGTGCAGAAAAATGTACAATCACTTGTTGCACACATATGAAGAACTTAATTTCTATTTCTTTAGAATATATTTACCCAATCAAATGATATTTTGGCATATTTGTGTTGTTTATATATATACAGGTCTGTCTCATCTTACGCAGGGGTTCCGTTCCGCGGTTAGCGCATAAAGCGAAAACCGCATATAGCCAAAACCCCATTGAGTTCAATGGCGGGCGAAATCGCCCGCACTACAGGTATAGTATTAAAACTGTTGATTTTTCTCTTTTTTTTTCCCGACTGCGTAAAGTTGAAATCGCGCATGTTAAATGCGCGTAAGATGCAACAGACCTGTATATTATGAGACTGTTCTATTTTTCTCAACAATTCCTAGTGAAAACTTTTAAGGGCTACACTGAGCTGTTTGTGAGGGTATTAGACTTGGTTATAAAACTCCTCAAAGCTTGTATGTTAACTACTGTTCTTCAGTGTGAAATGTTCCTGAGATTGCAATCAAACCATAAGCCTAACAAAGTCATGGAACAAAGCACAGTCTCAGTATCAAACATCTCTAGGACCCTCACCTACAACACTGGCCACTGAGGGGTTATGGAGCATGATGTTGCTGATACCGCCTTTTTTCCTATCATTACTTTGCCCACAGTCACTGGAACGCTGTTCAGGAACTGAAAGGTAAATGTTCTAATTGCTAACTTGGGAAAGATAATGAACATGGAAAGCATATATCATAAGAAATGTAGCTTATGTTACCACATATGCAGCCAAAAGAGACAGGTGCCATATTTGCCATTTACTACAGCCTTTAGAACGTACTCTTATATCAGTATTTTGCATATACAGTAGAACCTCAGAGTTATAAATGCCTCGGGAATGGAGGTTGTTCGTAACTCTGAAATGTTCCTAACTGAACAAAACATTATGGTTGTTCTTTCAAAAGTTTACAGCTGAACATTGATTTAGTACAGCTTTGAAACTTTGCTATGCAGAAGAAAAATGCTGCTTTCCCTTTATTTTTTTAGTAGTTTACGTTTAACGCTGTACTGTATTTGCTTTTTTTTTTTTTTTGGTCTCTGCTGCTGCCTGATTGTGTACTTCCGGTTCCAAATGAGGTATGTGGTTGATTGGTCAATTCGTAACTCTGAGGTTCTACTGTACGTTATGTTGGAGAAGTGTGCCTGAAAAGCAACTCATATTTTAAAAATAATGTTTTAAGTATAATTGTTGGTAGTAACTACAGATATATTTTATGTCTGTCTAGCTGTTTTGCATCTGATCCAGAAGGTATATTTTATAAGCGTACAGGTCTACTTTATTTTGTTTTACTGTTTGAACTGAATATATTCTATTTTTATTTCCTTCACCTGTTTTCAAATGGCAAAGCTAATAAACATCTATGATAAAAATAAAATGTTGTGTAGTTAATGGAGACATTAGGAAATATGTTGTAGGCTACACGCCTGCACTGGCGAGGACTGGACTAGATGACTTGTTGGGTCTTTTCAGTCTCTGAATTCTCTGGTCATACCTACATTAAATGGACTTGTTACCATCAGCTGTTATCAGCTTGGGACTGCTGAACTAGTACTGGAAACATTTAAAATGTTAGGGTATATAGGACAAAACCATTATAAAAATATGCTTGAGACGTGGAAGAAATAATCTATGGCAATGTAATTTAGACACTGACAGATCACTGAGCCTTGGTGGAACCAAGTCTCAGAACTAAAAAGGAGTTAGTCCCATCTACACTAGCAGTAAAAATTGTTCTAAATGCTGGTTCAAGGGGATCTATGGCAGACAACCATTGTCAGGAATGAGTCATTTCCCTAGTGTAGACATGGTTTATGACTATCATTCTTATAATAGGTTAGCTGAGCAAAAGGGACTCTTAGGTAATGTCAGAAGTTCTTTACAAGTAGGCTGATTATGACCATGCTTTTTACAGTTCTATTAGTTGTAGTATAGGATTTGTTTTATATACAGTGTAATCTTCTTAGCCTTAGCAGTTGTCAAATTTTAAGTGGCAAAGTATGTTTTAATGTGAAGACTAAAACTCTGCTTACTGCTCTTGTTGGAGTAATCAAAGTAGATTTAATGATCACACAACAGTGATAAATAGTATATGCATATCTGTGGTCTTTCTACCAATGCAGACCTCCTTGCAGTAACTCACTGTGCTTATTGTTGCTTCTGTGACTTTTTTTCTTTTCTGTATCAGTTGTCAATTAATAAAATAAGTGTTCATACTGGTAAATTAACTTGTAGCATTGTTATACAAATTATATACTTATGTATTTATAATGGTACTATTGGCAAAGTTTTCAAGTGTTAGGTACCTAAGCTGTGCCCACAAAATTGGTGTACAAACCCACCCCACCTAACAAATCTTGCCTTTCTGCAGGCAGTTTGGGCAAATAGGTGCAATATGTACCCAAAGGGTTAGGTTAGGCCCCCCCCCCCCATTTGAAAATTTGGCAGTAAGCATCTGGTTTAAACATAGTAGTTGAAGAAAATTAAAATCTCATGCTGCAACTCTCGCCCTAAGTCATCCTCCTGTGCCTAGGAATTCTAGTGTTACTGCTATATCTTCCTTCAATTGGTATGGGTAGCAGCTCCATTTGCCATATATTGAAGTTCCACAAGGGAGTATAACTCTTAGTATGCTGCACGTCTTAAGCGCAATGAGCAGTGTAAAATTTACATTTTAGCCTTAACTGTATCTTCTCATGTTTGTCAAACCCAGACCACCTACCTCTCCCAAGAAAAAAAAATAATATATAGGGAGAAGGGGCCCTTCCTGGACTGATGATCAGGGCAAGAAGCCCTACCCAGTGGCGTATTATTGCCTAGGCCAACAAGGCCTAGGCCTAGGGCGACAAATTTGCAGGGGCGGCAAATTTAAAATAGCAGCCCAGCATTTTTGTAATCGCGGCATCGCGCGCCACGATTCTACCAATCATGATAGCGCGTATTGAAACCACCAATGACGGCGCAACGGTGACGCCATTTAGTAAACAACATACTCGGGACTGGAGTCGCAACAATCCTAAGCATTAATTAACAATATGACCGGAAGGAAGAAATTAAGTGGTTCTCAGTTAAAAAAAAATGCTATACAGAAGAAAGAAAGGGAAAATGAAATGATAGCAAAAATGCGCAAAATTGATTCCTTTGTTGTATCAGTTAGTGCCGACAGTGAGACAGAAAAAAAAGTTGAAAGAAGTAGTGAAGTAAAAAGTGAAAATATTGGTGTTGATATTGAAAATATTGATGTGTATAAAGTACATATTAAAACTAATGAAGAAATTCCAGCTGCGGTTAGTGTTGAAGAAAATGTTCCAAATACTAGCGTATCAAAGACTACCGGGAATCATGTTGATCTGGATATCTTTGACAATACTGCAGAGATTTGCGAATCACATCATTCAGAAATTCAATCTGACATTGGAATATCTACCATAAGTGACAACCCGGCCCAATGGATATTGAATGATGCTACAATTGAGTATTTATCAAAGCATGGTATTAAACAAAATATCGATAGTCATTTTACTAACTCATAAAGACAATATACTGATAAAATGCGTGTTCTAACAAAAAATGTGTTTGAACGACATCTTTTAAACGGTGAAGTAAAGCCATGGCAATATCTTGTATATTCGGAGAGCAAAGGAGCCATGTTTTGTGCCCCATGTCGATTATTCGGAGGGATCTCTAGTCTGGCGACGAGTGGATACCATGACTGGAAAAACGTATCAGCTCGACTACGTGAACATGAAAATTCGACTGAACATAAAACGTGTGTACTGACAATGGTGAGGAGAGGCGAGATATCCGGAAGAATTTATTCGAATTTCAAATGGAAGAAGACATTATGTATTGGAGAAATGTGTTGAAGAGGATTGTAGCAGTGGTAAAGAAACTTTCAAGCAGAGGACTTGCATTTAGAGGTAAGGTGGAAAAATTTGGATCACCTTATAATGGCAATTACATGATGGCCCTTGAGCTTGTCGCAGAATTCGACCCATTTTTAGCAAGTCACATTGCACGTTATGGAAATGAAGGTCGAGGTAACGTATCTTAGCTTTCATACTATACATGTAATGAATTTATAAAATTGATGGCTTCAAATGTGATCTCAAATATTATTAAAGAAGTAAAAGAAGCCAAATATTTCTCGATAAGCGTTGACTCAACTCCCGACATATCTCATGTTGATCAATTGGCTTTTATACTGAGATATGTAAACGATGATGGCATACCAGTAGAGAGGTTTCTTTGTTTTTTGCCAAATACTGGCCACAGATCAGAACAGTTAGCTGATGCTGTACTTTCAACTTTGAATTGTTATGGATTAGATATCGCAAACTGCCTTGGCCAGTCGTACGACAATGCCACTAACATGTCTGGTGTACATAGCGGGTTGCAAGCAAGAATTAAAAATATAAATCCTTATGCTGTGTATGTGCCTTGCACTGGGCATTCTTTAAATCTGGTTGGAGTATGTGCAGCAGAAAGCTGTCAAGAAGCATGTTCATTTTTCTCAACTGTCCAACATCTTTATTCATTTTTTTCTGCCTCTACTCATCGGTGGGAGATTTTACTATCTAATTTGGAGCCAGGCAGTAAAGTAATAAAAAGACTTTCTGAGACTCACTGGTCATCTCGAGTGGAAGCTTGTCATAATTTGAGTGAAAACTGGAATGCTATAATTAAAGCCTTAAATACAACAAAGGAAGATGCTACTGAGAAACCTGTTACACGTAATGAAGCTGCAGGCCTGCAGCGAAAACTCGATCGACTTGAGGCAGCTTTTATGGCTGTATTTTGGAGCTCACTCTTGGAAAGATTTCATATAACTAGACAAAAACTGCAAAATGTTTATATTGATATACAGACAGTTGTAGAACTCTACAACTCACTAATAGGATACATTAACTCTATACGGGACTTGTTTGATAAGTACGAAGAGAAAGCCAAAGAAAAATCTGAAATTGAAGACTACGAATTTGACACAAAGCGAAAAAGAAAACGTAAACTGCAAGCTAAGGAGACACGCGAAGTTGAAGTGGAAATGTGTGGTAGAGATAATTTAAAGTAGATATCTTTTTAACAATACTAGACCTTGTATGTTCCAAATTGAAACGCAGAAGTAATGCGTATCAAGAAATTTA